ATCCATAGTGCACAGAGGAAGACAGAATCTCCACCGAGTAGTATCCAATCTGTCTGGGCAAGACTGATGAAAGGAGATGGGGATGGCTCTCATGTGGCACAATAGTGAATAATATCAGCACAGACTGTGAGGGTTGAAAATGTAAAGGTAGACATTTTGTAGTAAAACGAAGGGAGTGATTGACTTTGCAGTCCAAGACCGGAGATTCCTGGGACCATCATGGGAGAAGAGCATAGTGCGGGACCCCACCCAGAGAAACAGTGATGACAGAGATGGAGGAAGAGATGATGACGTGGAGAGAGGGAACAGCTGGGGACTCTAGACCTAGAGAGGGAGAAGTGCTGTGTGATGACAACCAGGGGGAAGGCTTGCAAGGTATACCATTTGGTTGGTTGATGATTCATGGAAGGGATTGTAACCATGGCAATGAAACAATACACAAAAGGATGAATGGAAAGATAATGTTCTCTCTCCCATGTAAACTATCACATAATTCACAAAACAATTTTTTTAAAAATTATATATATATATGAAATGTGCTCAGCAAAAAACTTACCATTTGTACAACAGACTCTCTTAATCGTGTCTCTTCTTCAGTCATGAGAGTCAATTCTTTGCAGACCATGGCAGCCAGCCCCACATCTAGACATTCTGGATCTGCTGCCATCTTAAAAATAAGCTCCTCATGTGAAAAAACACAATGGCGCCTCAGCCTTCGATAATGATTTACACACTGACGTCCAATGGGCAACTGAAAATAAAGAGATAATACCCAAATTAAATGATTTGCGTATAACACATTTCAAAACAGAAGGAGTATTTGCCCTTCAGATCTTCCCTTTTATTATACAGAAGCAAAACAACAAATTGTATTTGTGTATAAGTTGTTGTTAAGTGCCGTAGAGTCGGTTCCGACCCATAGCGACCCTGAACAGGGTTTCCAAGGCTGTAAATCTTTATGGGGGCAGAAAGCCTCATCTTTCTCCCGCGGAGCAGCTGGTAGTTTTAAACTGCTGACCTTGCGGTTCGTAGCCCGATTCGTAACCAATTTAATAACCCTTTATGACCTAGCAGGAATTTCAAGTCTTCCCATAGAAAACTCCCACAATCTGAAATGTTGAGTTTCTAGCCTGAGTTGCCAATTTTCTACTCAAAATATCTTCTGAGTATATAAATGAGGCAGCAAATTCTTTTAGACCAGACTACAAGAAGTCCTGGTATGGCACTGTAGGATAAGCACTGGACTGCTAACTGCAAAGTTGGCAGTTCAAACCCATCAGTCACTCCTCAGAACCCTACACAGGGTCGCTATGAGTCAGAACTGACTTGACTGCACTTAACAACAAGTCTAATGAGAGGTTGTCCTTCCAGGAAAAAGGAAAAATTGCTAAAACAAAACTAAACCTCAGACTGTAGAAGTTTTTAGCATTCATGTTTTCACAGAACAAAAAGAACAGATGTTATCAGAAGAAAAATAGAAGAAGTGGGGAAAGGCACTACTTAAAGCAATCTACTTTGACCTCACATGTTAAAACTTTACATTTTTTTATAAGAATCAAAACAAAAGATAATTCAAATTTTAGCATATAGAAATCCTTTTAAAAAACAACCAGCCTAGACTAAAGTAAATTCAGAGCAAAATCGTGAGGTTATATGCTTTATTTTCCATAACAGTGAAACAAATCACTAAATGACCACTTTTCATAAACCAATAGATACACCTATAAGAAAAATTCTAAAGATTTCAGTCACTATCAAGTTTAAGCCAAATTACAAGAATAACTATACTATACTCTTAACACCTCTGGTAGCACAGTGGTTACGAGTTGAGCTGCTAACTTCAAGGTCAGCAGTTCAAAACTACAGGTGAAAGATAAGGTTTTTGTTCCTGTAAAGATTTACTGCCTCAGAAGCCCTATACAGTGTTGCTATGAGCTGGAACCAATTCCACAGCCCATAGCTGGAGTCCTGGTGTGACACTGTAGGATAAAGCACTGGATCTCAAGGTCGGTTTTGAACCACAAGGTCAGTGGTTCAAACTCACCAGCTGCTCCTTGGGAGCTCTAGTAGCATAGTGGTTACGAATTGGACTGTTAACCTCAGGGTCAGCAGTTTAAAACTACCAGCTGTTCCATGGGAGAAAGATGAGGCTTTCTGCTCCCATAAAGATTTACGGCCTCGGAAACCCTGCACAGGGTCACTATGAGTGGAACTGACTCCATGGCACATAACAACAACAATATACTCCACACATATACACAAACGTATATATACAAATACATATGTATACAAACACATCTACAACTCTTGGGTGGAAAAACTTGAGATGGCTAAATGAAGTTTTCTTTGAATTTGGAAACTAATATAAAAGTGAAAAAAGAAGATGAGTTTTTCAGAGCCTTTTTGAATTCGTCTCCATTTTGAGAAAAGCAAAAGAAAATCAGTGTGTGAAACTACCGCTAAACTAACCAGAAAAACTATCTTTTCTAAAAAAATATATTCAACTACTCACTGGTAATGGTAGAGGTTGTGTGCTGTGGAGTCGGTTCCGACTCATAGCAACCCTGAATAGGGTTTCCAAAACTGTAACTCTTAAAGGGAGCAGAAATTCTCATCTTTCTCCCACTGAACCACTGGTAGTTTCAAACTGCTGACCTTGATGTTAGCAGCCTGATTTGTAACCATTATGCTATTATTTATTTTGTCTACTGACAATATACAATACTTACATTTCTAAGTATTTGCTTTTTAAATATTTGTCATATAACTTCATTACAAGGATAAATAGAAGGAAATAAAAAAAACAACAACAACACAATTCTAATTTGCAGTTCTTTATATGGAGACTACATAAAACAGAATTCAGATTATCAACTGTGTCTTACAAAAAATAGTCCCATTGACTCTTGGGCCCAGAGTCAGTGACATAGCCACAGCGGACCAGAGTGGAGAGTGAAGCATC